TGAAACTCTAGGATTAGAAAATCGTGACAGATCTATGTCACACTGTCACTAACATTCATGGACTCACCCCTCTGGACTCACGACGGGGGAGGCTGTTGTTGGTTTAGCGTCCAGCGTCCATGCCTAAGCTAGTAGAAGCTAACTGATAGCATTAGCAAATCCACCAACGGCAGAACTCCTCGGGCTTATGTTATTGATGGAGGTAAAACATCAAGGTTGCAGAGTAAACAGTCAGTGATAAAGTTGTGTTGCTGTTAGCCAATCAAAGGAGAGATGTCCACATGTCAGGAAATAGGACAAAATCCTAAGGGCTGCCAACTCTCCAACGTTGAGCGCGAGACACGCTCATTAGACACCTCCCATATCTCACTGTGGTATCAGGTGTGTAATGATGTGGAGCCACACTGTGCCAACACTTATTAACTATTAGTATTAATATCATGCACAAGCTGTCATGCAATGGTTGTGGATTCATTTTCCAGTTAGTTCTCAACTTATTTTAGTGTTTCTTTTTTGTTAGGATTGTAGTTTTAAACCTTTTTAGCTTTTTTAATCTAAAATGGATAAAATAATTACAGAGGAAACTGGAAAAACCAGAATCTGGTGCAAAAGTTATTTTATGTCACTAATCTAACCCAAAAGGTGAAACTAACCCATGAGACAGACTCATTCCATGCAAATCCAGATGTTTCAGTCTTTATCTGGTATAAATGTATAAATGTGATGAATATGGCATACAGCTGATAAAAAAGCCCACATCCAAAATCTCAGACAATCAGAATATTGTTAAAAAGTTTAATTTTCACACTCTAATCAGCTGTTGTGTGAAACCTCCAAGTTACCGTAGCGAATGCGGAGCAGCTGGCACAAAACCGCCAGCACTGGAAACAACTGGTTCATCTGGTAGGCTCACGCTCTGGACTGGACGACAGCCGACCCTTCGCAGGAGCCTTGATGATGATGATGATGATGATGATGATGATGATGATGAAACACCTGCAGAGGGTTCCTGAGCCTTTAGATGGTCCCTCAGTCTCAGCTGGATTACTTCTGCACCAGATTCTAATTTTTACTGTTTTAACTGTATTGCTTCTAAAATGTGTACTAGCTCTATAGATTCATATGGAATGTGACAAAAATGAAAATAAAACATTCTTTTTATTCTGGTTTTGTTCCTTTTTGTGTATTTTTATGTGAAACTTTTCAGTCTAAATTGTAAACAAACATGTAAAAACATTATTCAGAGAGGAACCAGGGGTTTGTGGTTGGTCTCCAGCACAAACCTGTCCATGCCTTGTAGGTACCTCCCGAAGAGCTGGCACACCCACACACCAGCGAGGCACTCCTTTTTCTATCTGGGAGTATCGATGCTAAGTCTCTGTCAGTGTCTTGGAACAAAAGGCGACTGGTCGTAGTCCAGCGCTGTGTTCCTGGTAGAGAGCTCCACCCAGGCCATGCCTACTTGCTCACCACCGTCGGCTTTGTCCAATTTTAGTTTGCCAGCATTGGAGCTGAGGATGCCTTTCACCTTTCTGAAAGCCTCTTCCTAACCCTAACCCTAACCCTAACCCTAACCCTAACCCTTTCACCTTTCTGAAAGCCTCTTCCTAACCCTAACCCTAACCCTTTTCCTGACCTGACATTTGTACTTCTTTAGTTTTAGTCCAGAAGCCTTTATTGTGTCCATCACAGCCTGTAGGTTCCGGTCGTGCTCTTTGTTCGTACCGTAGATCAGAATGTCATCCAAGACAACTTCTGTGCCCGTGTGGTTTCTCAGGAGTGACCTCATCTTCTGCTGAAATATTTCTGGTGCTGATGCAATACCAAAAGGAAGACGACAGAAACAGAAGCGACCCACGGGACTAAGAAAGGTTGTAAGCTTCTTACTGCTCTCGTCAAGTGAGATCTGCCAAAACTCATTTGAGGCGTCAACTGTGGACAACATAGTGGCGCGTAATAGTTTTGGTGCTATGTCGTCTAGTGTAGGCAAGATGAACCTTTCTCCCTTTACAGCTTTATGAGTTTAGTTAGGTCCACACAGATTCTTGGTTTCTTGTTCTTTTTAATCACTGGAACCATGGGTGCACACCAGTCTGTAGCTTCCTTTACTTCTTCTATGATGCCCAGAGACAACATTCTTTTCAGTTCCTCCTCCTGAGGTAGGATTGGAAAAGGGATGTGCAATGTTGTATGGTTCGGTGTCCGGCCTAAGCTCTATTTGACAGGTTCACACTTTAACCGGCCAATGTCCCGAAATCCATCATTATATGACTCCAGTCCATTTACTCTGCGCACCAGTCCCATTTTAATTGCAGTTTTCTGATCCAATAAATTGGTTGTAAAAGGGCAGAAATCCAAAAGGGAAAACTCTCCCTCTCTTTCACAGTGTGTCATGAACTTGCCTTTACACACAAGTTTTCCTTCTGAGCTTGTGAAGGTTGATCCTGTCATCACCAGGTGAGGACCCTGTTGTGGGGATGAATATGTTTTTTCAGAAATC